CTTATAGGAGTTCCTTTGTATGTAACCTGCTGTCTTTCTGCTTTCAGGATCCTGTCTTTGTCTTTAACCTTTGCCATTTTTACTATGATGTGTCTTGGTGTGGACCTGTTTGGGTTCAGCTTGTTTGGAACGCTCTGCACTTCCTGGGCTTGCATGTCGATTTCCTTCACCAGGGTAGGGAAGTTCTCAGTCATTATTTCTTCAAATATATTCTCGATCCCTTGCTTCTTCTCTTCTCCTGGTACTCCTGTGATGCGAATGTTGTTGCGCTTGATGTCCCACAGGTCTCTCAAACTAGTTTCATTGTTTTTCTTTTTTCTTTTTGTTGTTCCAACTGGGTGATTTCTGCTGTTTTGTCTTCTAAATCACTGATCCGATCCTCTGCTTCATCTAATCTGGTGATTCCTTTGAGGTGTGTTCTTCACTTCAGTTATTGTATTCTTTAGTTTTAACTGGTTGTTTTTTATGATTTCTCTATCCTTTTTTATGTCCTCAGTAAGTTCCTTAAACATTCTTATCATCAGTGTTCTAAACTCTGTCTCTGAAAGGTTGGATACCTCTGTTTCATTAAGTTCCATTTCTAGAGGTTTCTTCTGATCTTTTACCTGGGGCATGTTTCTTTGTTTCTTCATTCTGGCTGTCCCTCTGTGATTGCCTATTGTGCTAAATTTATAATTGGTGAGCTTTCCTGTCTTTTCCAGTAGCTTTTCTATTTTTTGTTCCTTTTGGAATCCTTTATAGAAAATAATCCATTTCCTTGATTGTTTCAAATTCATTGGCATATTATATTTTCTCATTCTTATAATGTCTTTCATATATCTTATAGCACCACCTAAATTGTTTTTGTATAAAAAGTTTGGTTTATGGAATAAATTTTATTAAACATATATACTTATAAGACTAATCTAATTCAGAATAGTGTTCATCCCTGTTACATATTCATACTTGTTTCACAGCTCCTGGCGCTTAAGGAAACACATAGAAGACTTAGAAATTACCTTCAGATATAATGTTATGTTGGAATTAGTAACTTCCCTGATGTCTAGTTGCTTTATTTTTGTTTTAATTTATTAAGTAGCCTGAAATCACAGGATAATAAGTCAACAAATACAGCAGTATAGCGGGTACAATTAACCAAATGAAAATTGATGTGTTAGGTTGCTTGTTACTCAGTGTAACCCTTTCAAAGTACCCTATCAATATTGTACAAAGTGTGAAACAGGCAAGACTCAAATCTTATGAGAGGCATGCTTTAAGCCTTACCCACTGACACTCACACCTGACCACCACTTGGTGTTTTTCAGTGAGTGAGATGATTCACCATGCTCTGTTTTAAACTACATTTCTTACTTTGTTTTCTTAGATCTGACAGAAATTTGTGCTTTGTCTTTTCAAAGAAGCAGCTTTTGGTTTTATCAATTCTTTTGTTTGTGGTTTTTTATTTATCTTCAGATTTGCCATTACTTTCCCTTAAATCATTGTTACTTTTCTTGTGTGATGAATCCTTCCTTTATTTAATTAGATTGTGCTAACAAGCACAAAATAATATTTGAAACTGTAAATCCCCTGGAATCAATTTTCTTTGTATCCCATATGTTTTTGTAGGGAATCTTCAAACCTTTGTAAATTTCTTGATAATTTAGAATTTGTCTTGCCTTCCTTTGATTAAGAGCAGATAGAACTTAATTTTTTTTTTCAAAACATGTCATAAATTTCACTATGATGTGGGTGTTTTTTATTATTATCTAAACATGTGTCTGGCATTGCATGGACTTTTGATCTTAAACTTTTTGTTGGTTTTAAGCTCAGGAATCTTTCTTTTTTCCTACTCTTAAAATTATTTCAAGGGTGATTACTTTTTATTTATTTGTTTTGTTCATTTCCTTTATTTTTTGTTTCATTTTGTTGACTTAGGTTCTCTTTTTTCTATTAATTTTCTTTTGAAAGTCCTGTTCACACAGGTATATCGACCATTCCATGTCTATTTCCATATTTCATATGGAAACTAAGAAAATAATAAGGAACACCTGTTTAGCTACTGCCCACCTTTGTCCGTGATTGCCATTTTCTCATACTTCCTTCAGATTTTATAGTGTTTTCATTAAACCTGAACATGTAGTAGAAACCTCCCTAGGTACTATGACCTAAACTATTATCATGAAATTGATATTGGGTTGTCGGAAAAGTCATGAAGCATTTTTTTTTGTTTTGTTTTGTTTTTTTTTTTAGCTGAGCCATCCAGCTCAGCTCAGGCCAGGACTCGAACCACTGTTGCTCAGAGCTCACACTCTTGAGTGTGCTCTTAACCAACTGAGCCACTTGGCAGGCCCTCATGAAGCATTTTTACAACGAAAAACATAGAACAAATACGTCATGACTTTTCCGATAACCCAATAATTGTTGACATGCATATTTTTATACTTTTACTGTGTAAATTCTTCCTTCTGGTCCCTTTAGGAGTAGCATCTTTCAATTCTTGGCTTCCTCTTAGAATTTCCTGGGAGTTTTAAAAAACAAAAACCATCTGATAGTTATATTGTGCTCTTTGCAATGGTACCACAGGAGTTGGTATTTTACGAAAGCTCTTGGTGTGATTCTAATATGCATCTAGTGTTAAGAACCTTTGCTTTAGAGTAATTTTAAAATTTTCTGCCACCATCCTTTCCAAGGGTATTTGGTATAATTTTTTAAATTTCTGTGCTTGGGGAAGTCCTGAATTAGTTATTTTTGAGCCCCAAACTTTCATATCGCCTAGATCCGTGATTATGGTACTCAGGAAGCCCCCACACAACCTGAGGTCTTCAGAGCATTCTTTTTAAGTTTTTAAGAATTTTTCTTTCATCTTCTCTCTCTCTCGCTCTAGCTTCTTTTCTTGTTTTTTTTTTTCCTCTTCATTAAATGTGGCTTAGAAGGAGTTGTTTTTTTAAGTTATTGATTTTGTTCTTTCTTTGATGTGCCAAGTTACTTTTTAAGTGATCTGTCACCAATTTTGCTGCATTTTGATTTTTTAGGAGCAGATGTTGAAATGTTTTTTTTAAAAAATTTTAAGTTATTATTATTAGTTTCAGGTATAAAAAACAATGCAATAGTTATCCTTTTCACCCCTCACAAAGTGACAACCACCCTCCCGCATCCACTGCCCTCCCACCCTGATATCATACATATCTATTACAATTCCATTGACTCCATTCCCACACTCTATCTACTCCACATGCCATGCTATATATGTATTAAATTATAGTTGACATATAATATTATTCAACGGCAGCTTCAGATGTACAGTGCAGTTGTCAGGCCTCTACACCGTCCATGAAGTGGTCTCCCTAACATGACATGAGACCACCTGGCCACCTAAATAGCTAAGACTTGGAAACAATCGAAATGCCCATCGGTAGGCGACTGGATTAAGAAACTGTGGTACATTTACACAATGGATTACTACTCAGCTATAAAGAAGAAGGAAATCATACCATTTGCAATGATATGGATGAACCTAGAGACTATTATGTTAAGTGAAATAAGTCAGTCAGAGAAAGACAAATACCATATGATCTCACTTATATGTGGAATCTAAAGAAATGGATAAACGAGTAATGTATACAGATGTTGATTTCTTTAAGTCAGTGATTCATCAGCAAGTGATGAAAAGTTAAGAGGGATTTCTTTCCTCTAAGCTAGTATTATCAGACTGGGTTATTTTAGTTGAGATGACCACCTTCTCCTAAGGGTGAGCGAGAATAGCAGTCTTTGTTCCTCTGCATGGGAATGGGGAGCTTTTCACTCCTAACAGCCTAGTATCCCTTGATGACATTTGGAATCAGTGAGCTCCCAAGGCCTGGTCAGGAAATCTAAGCTCCAACACTAGTTGCTCCAGGAGGAAGTGGAGGTAGAGCAGTTACAAATATAGGCTGCTTTGGCAAATTTGGAAGAAGCAGATTTGGCCTCTTTGAGGACATTTTTAGATTCAAAAGCTATTTTTCTCATGTGATAAAATATTTTACGAAATGAACTACCTCTGGAGCTGAGCTAAATTTTGAGAGTTCCAACGTTTTTTTTTTTTTTTAAGATTTTTATTGGGGAATTGGGGGGATGGGAACAGTGCTGGGGGAATTGGGGGAAGGGGAACAGACTAGTTGCTGTCGTTTTGTTCTTCAATCTAGTTGTGGAGGATGTTGCTTCACTGGCCCAAGTTGGCACCATCATTGCACTCTTCTCTGGCGAGGCTGATCAGTCGCCAGCTTCTGGACGGCCGCTCACTGCGGCTGCTGGCCGCTCACGCTGGCTGCTGGCTACATACGGTAGCCCATGGCAACCCACTGCCACAGGGACTGCAGCCTACGCCGTCGCCGGCGACTCATGGCAGCCCAGCTCCAGGTTGAGCTGTTGTTCAGCATCTTAGCTGTGGAGGGCAGTGTCACTGGCCCTCATATGTGGGATCCGAACCGGGGCCCTCTGGCATCCCAAGCAAGTTCTTAACCATCGCGTCACTCGGCCGGCCCAACGTATGTACTTGTAAGAACCTGCTTGTTACTGAAAGTTCTTGTGTGGTTTAGTATGAAGTTTTACCTAAGGGTCAGATGATCTTATCTTTGTATCTCCAAGCATAAACAATACTAAATATACTATGTGCTCACTACATGAGTTTAACTTGCCAGAATAATATAATTTAAACATTTTTCAACTAGACGTTTATTTCACATCATTGGAAATTAGATGCATTGATGAAGTTATATATCTGAGGGATTAAAAGCTTATAAAAACAGATAACCACTGTTTAAATATCCTAATTTATTCATCAGATAAAAATTTCCAGTGGGCAAATACAGGAGCAACTGTGTTTGGAACACAGTCAACCAGTAAAATTGGCGAAGAAGAAGATGGTAGTGATGAAGAAGTAGTTTATAATGAAGATATCCATTTTGAACCGATAGTGTCATTACCTGAGGTAAATATTAAAGAATGAAAATCTTACTAATAACTTCACATTTTAAGTTTAAAATGTCACACAGGCTTGATTTGTAGGGATAGCTTTCTTTGCATTTCTTTCAGAATGTAATTTCGAAGTAAATTTCAGAATTTAACTTCTTTACTAGAAGTTAAGCTTCTAAGTATAAATTTTCTTCTTTGTCAAAATTTATATATAAATGGTAAATTATATGTGAAGTTATTGGGAAGAGCTAAATTTTTTCATGTTAGAATATCATGTTTGTATAACAATTCTGGAGGCAAAAAATAATCTCATATTTGTTAAAGTACTTTCAAAATAAATTACTACATTTTTTGGACAAGAATGCTCTTTTAGACAAATTACTTTGTCAATTTTCAACCTCAAGCAATATTAATATTTCTCTTGAAGAACTTTTTTAAACCTCTTCTGTCCTATAAAAGAATATTTAATTTCCAAAAGGAGGAAGAATACTACATAAGAGAAAAATATTTAATGACAAATCAGGTCTTTTCTGCTTTATCCAAATCAGATATATTCCTAGCCCTCAGAAATTACCATTTATCTCGATACTACAGTTTGAATTCTTTTAATGTCATTACAAAGACAATATCATAAAGAATTTGTATCTTTGGAATTTTTTTTGGAATTTGTTATTGAATATGTTGTAAGCAGCAGCTTTTTTTTTCATGTACTATCATAGGTACAAGTAAAATCTGGAGAAGAAGATGAAGAAATTTTATTTAAAGAGAGAGCCAAACTTTATAGATGGGATCGAGAGATCAGTCAGTGGAAGGAGCGTGGTGTTGGAGACATTAAGATTCTCTGGCATACACTGAAGAATTACTACCGGATCCTAATGAGAAGAGACCAAGTCTTTAAAGTGTGTGCAAACCATGTTATTACCAAAACAATGGAATTAAAACCCTTAAATGTTTCAAACAATGCTTTAGTGTGGACTGCCTCGGATTATGCTGGTATGTTTAAATGCTACTTTTCATATTTTGGACTTTGCTAAAATTCATAACAAATATATAAAACCATTTATAAGTTATTTTGATACTAAGGTCATTGTGTTGTTTGTTGTTTCATAGATGGAGAAGCCAAAGTAGAACAGCTTGCAGTGAGATTTAAAACTAAAGAAATGGCTGATTGTTTTAAGAAAAAATTTGAAGAATGTCAACAGAATTTATTGAAACTTCAGAAGGGACAGGTATCACTGACAGCAGAATTATCAAAGGAGACAAATCCTGTGGTGTTTTTTGACATTTTTGCAGATGATGAACCTCTAGGACGTATAACCATGGAATTATTTTCAAACATTGTTCCTCGCACTGCTGAGAACTTCAGGGCACTATGCACTGGAGAGAAGGGCTTTGGTTTCAAGAACTCCATTTTTCACAGAGTAATTCCAGATTTCGTTTGCCAAGTAAGTATTAACTGTGTAACACAACTGAAGTCTAGAAAAGTGTACCACACTAATTGGGAAACTTGAGTGCTTCTCGTCACCTGTAATTTTCTTAAGATTTCTTTAGCTTTTCCATACATTAGTTGGTGTTACCACCCTAAGTAACATCCTATCCTCACAAAAACTTTCAACCTAAAATGGTTCAAATTTATAAGAGACCTTGAAACCTGCTAGAAATTGAGGGTGGAAAAAAGGCCTTGTAATTTTTATATTTCAAAAATGGGTATTCGTTTTCAAACCACATTCTCAAGCAAAGCTGGGTGTTTAGGGCTTATTGTGTAGTGGTTAGTTCTGTGTGTATTTTAATATTCAGGATTCCTATTAATTGAAATCTTTTTTCAGGGGGGAGATATCACCAACCATGATGGAACAGGAGGACGGTCCATTTATGGAGATAAATTTGAAGATGAATGTTTTAATGTGAAACATACTGGTCCTGGCTTATTATCAATGGCTAATCGAGGCCGAGATACCAATAATTCTCAATTTTTTATAACACTGAAGAAAGTAGAACATTTGGACTTTAAGCATGTAGTATTTGGGTTTGTTAAGGATGGCATGGATACTGTGAAAAAGATTGAATCATTTGGTTCTTCTAAAGGGTCTGTTAGTCGAAGAATTAGTATCGCAGAATGTGGACAGTTATAAAATCACTGCTTTTCATAGTAAAATTTTACCTGTATAAACAGTTGAATTGAAGCTTAGCTGTTATGACAATATGGTAATTATGTTCAGCTTTTGAAAATGGACGTTTCCAATGTATAAATGTAAAATTGCAGCTTATAGCTGTTGTCACTTTTTAATGTGTTATAATTGACCTTGCATGGTGTGAAATAAAAGTTTAAACACTGGTTTATTTCAGGCGTACTTGTGTTTATGTACTCCTGACATATCTGTATTAAAATGGAATAATACTAATCTTGTTAAAAGCAATATAGACCTTCTCATACTATTGAAGGAATATTATATATGCAATTTAATTTTAATTCCTTTTAAGATATTGGACTTCCTGCATGGATATACTTACCGTTTGAGTAAATGGACCAAAACTTGGATAATTTTTATTTTAGATTTGAAATATATTTGGTAATTTTAACTATTGGTGTGCTCATTTATGCTTACTTATGAATGGGTAGAGCCACAGAGGGTAGAGACTTAACCAAAGTGCTCTTCTATAATCCTTGCACCTCCTGTATAGTTAACGAACTTCTAAGTAGAGTACCTTCTTTTCTTAAAATGATATGTAGCTTCTTGTGCCCTTTCAATGGTATTAAATTAATTTTTATATTTTAAACAAGTTGAGTATTTCCTTAAGTTTTTTTTTTTTTTTTAACTTTTCTGTCATCTGTTTCTACTACCTCAAACTGCAGCTTGGTTCTGATAGAACTTGAATTTTTCCTTGCAGTTATTGTGATAAAGTATGAATATTTTAAAAAGGTCTATACCATGTTCTTTGGTTAAAATTTTGCTTTATACTAGATTGTTGCAGTACCTTTTTTCTGGTGAATTTTGTAGCAAAAATAAAGTGACAATTGTTAACAGCCATGATATTTTAAAAAATTCATTCCTGTGCATCTAATTGTTTGTTCGTTCTATAACTAAAGTAAGGAGGACAATTAAAGGTCTGTAAATCAAACTGCCACATAATTTCCAGAGCTCCTATGAAAGTGACGTTTTTCAAGTATGATACACACTGAAAACTTATCTGGAAATGGCCAGTGTCAAAAGTTAGTCAGACTGCTAAAAAGGGGGATGTTCTCATCAACTTATTCAATATAGAGCTACAAAGAAGCTAGTTAGAGCCCAAAATTTTGTATGTTCCAATCATTCCAGTCTCTCACAGTGACTGCCTTCTGCTCTCCTGTATTCTTCCCAGTGAAATCACCTTTAGTAAAGTGGGTTTTATTCTGTTGTTTGGGGATTTGGAAATAGGTTATCCTATAATAAATACCTGTTGAACCACCAAAGGAGAAGAGGGATGCCATGTGTTGTTTATGTGAGTAATGAGTGATGGAATGCCACCACTAAATCCACTTGGCCACAAAGTGGCCACAAAGCCAGATAACTAAATAAACCTACACCAATGTATCAGTTGAACTAAGTGAACCTTAAAAAGAACCATGGACTACATGTATGCACGTTTAATAGTAAAAACTGACTTCTTTGGACATATGTAATATAAGTTGTAAAGTGTATTGTAATTTTTCAGCTGGGGCAGCTGATGCCTTTGTCATGATTTTAGAATAAGTTCCAAGTAAAGGCAAGCACACTTAAGAAATTTTTTAGATAAATCAGCTTTACACTGATATTTATGCATCCTAAAGCATTCAAATTCTGAATTGAACTTTAAAAACTAATATTTTGACCAAAAATTGGATAAAACTACTAAACCGACTTTTCCAGTATTAGTATTACAAAGATGCTTAAAAGTGGCTTGAGGCATTTTTAAGAAAGACTGTCACATTTCAGGAAAGAACTTTGTGATTTCTCTTTGTTATTTAATTGCTAATGTGGTATAAACCCACATTATGTACTTTTATGAGACTGACCACATTATGTACTTGTAAAAAAACTGGCTTGATTTTATATTGGCTTATTAAATTCTGCTTAAATAGAATATTAAATAGAATATAAAGAAATTCATTATTTGTATACTTTATACTTTATGGCAAAATAGTATGTTTAAATAATTTTCAGATAACTACTTTATTAAAATATTGATATTATAAAATTTTGGCATTTGAGGAAATTGAAAGATAGAGAATCTAGGAGTTTTTAGACCAGACATGCTGTTGAATACTTAAAATTTAGAAAAGTAAAGGATTATACTAGTATAGTTGTATAAGTGAGAGAATTTAAGTGGTTATTCAGTTTTTCACCTCTATTAGTCTGTTTAGTGTAGGATTTAGGTTGATATACCATGCCAGTAAATATTGAGCACCTACTAAATGGCGGGCACTGTTCTAGGCACTGGGGAAAGCTGTTAAAAAAAAAAGTAGATACTCTCAGGAAGCTTACATTCTAATACCGATTTTTAATATCCTGTTATTGCATATAGGAAACGGGCCAATGGCAGGGAATTAGGAGGTAATTCTTTTTGAAATTACTACGCTTTGCAGTACGATATATTCTTGATTTTTCCCTCCTTTAATATTACAGTTAGCAAAGACCACCCGATTATGTCTAAACGCACATTAAATATATGTCAACATTCTAGGCAAGGGTGGGGGTCCTACAAGTTAGGTTTGGACCATTCTGGAGACCCCTTCGTCTGTGGACATATACCGTGTTTGCATTCCCACGTACAGGCGACACGCACGGGCTAACAGAAAGTAGTGACTTCCTCCCAGAGCTGCAGAGTCCTGAGGCTGCAGCTGAGCTCCCCTCCGAATGAGGGGCCATGCCACACCTGCTTAAGTGCAACCTGGTGTGGACGATCCTTTTTCGGTGACTTGGACACAACGGAAGAAAACTAGCAAAAAGACACTGCAAAGATTAAACACCATTTATCAGTCCAAATAATCACTAGTGAAGGAACTATTAAATCATTCAGCAGGAAAAACATGTAACGCGGGAACATACAAAATGAGTCAGGGAACTCTTCAGGCTTTCGTCTCAACGCCCCTGCCCACGAAGGGCGGAGCGTGTCGTGCGTCGTCACGCACTTCCGCTGCGCGAGCTCCGCCCCTGAGCGTCCCGCCGCGGGTTTGAACGCTGTTCCCGGGGAGACGACGGTGTCCTGAGCTCGATGGAGCCGAGGATAGTCAAGCCGCCTGGGCAGGATTTCGTAGTGGAACGTCTGAAAAGCCGCTACGGACTAAATGGCCGCTGCCCCGCCGAGGTGAGGCCTTGCGCTTCGTCCTCGGCCCCGTCCTCGGGTCCGCAGGCTGGCTGGCTCCTGCTAGTGTGAAGTAGCTCGCCCAGCAGCTCCCCCGGGGGCGTCGGGCCGAGGTGCTGAAGACACGGGGCGAGAGACGTTCAGCGGCAAAGCGAGTTTACCGAAAGTTAGCTGGAGGGGGAAAAGTAATTTATGGCCGCAGATGTGTAAATGCTTGGCAGATAGATGTTAAAAGTATGGGATAAACAAGTTTTGTGTCAGAGAAATTTCTTCATAAAGTTTTGAAGGTTTATGTTATACAAAGCGTGGTATGACATGGTTGAAAGAACTTTTATTTACAGTGACTTGAGTGGAGTCCAAAAAATTTAATTTCTTCAAAAGGCTATTTTGAAATAATTTCAAACTTTAAAAAAATTGCCAGAATAATACTCTTTTGTACCCTTCGCTTGGATTCACCAGTTAACATTTTACCACGTTTGCTTTACCATTCGCGCTCTCTTCCTCTTTAACTCCCTTTCCGTACATATATTCCCCACTTCCCCGAACTATTTGAGGGTAATTTGCAGGCATAATGACTCTTTACTCTCAAATATAAATACTAACGTGTGTTTCTTAGATAAAGGACATTCTCTTATATAACCAGAGTAATGAATTCAGGAAACTTACCATTGATACAATAATACTATGTAATGTATAATTCATATTCAAATTTCACGAATTGTCTCAATAATGGCCTTTAAATTTTTTTTTTTCCTGGTGCAGATCCAATCTAAGAATAAGCATTGCATTTGGTTTTTCTCTTTTGTTGCCTTTAATCTGGAACAGGTTTGAAGAGTGTAGGACAGTTTATTAGAATGTCACTCAATTTGGGTTTGATGATTATACCTCATGATTAGATATTTTTGGCAAGAATGGTACATGAATGATGTGTGGGTTGCTCTGTTTGTTAGGAGACACAATGTTGCTTTGTCCCATTATTACCGATGTTTGATCACTTGGTTAAGGTGGTGCCTACCTGATTTCTCCCCTGGTCTAATTACAAGTCTAACCTTTGTAATTAAACATAATTTGTAGGGAACTGTTTTGTAACTGTAAGTTAATTCTTAGTATACACATTAAATGTCTTTTTTATTTTTTAAGAACGATTTTTCAAATTTTGATCATGCTAAATGTAAGAGAAGATCTCCAACCTACTCAGGTAAGCCAGTAATTTTGTATATTTGGGGTTTTAACAAATTTAATTTGAGAGACTTAAAAAAAAATTTCAGACTTATAGATATTGCCAGATATCTTGCAATACTAAGCTTTTTTCAGTGTGGTAATCATGATTTTTGGGGTGAATGTGTAAGATGCCTTTAAAAATCAAAGTGATTGGGGGGGTTGTTACTTTGTGAGGGTGAAAAGGATAACTATTGCATTGTTCTGTACACCTGAAACTAACAATAAAAAAAAAAAAGAAAGAAAAGAAATAACAAGAACACACACACAAAAAATCAAAGTGATTGAATTTTTTGGTGCTTATTTTTTTAGTATTTATTACAGTATTTCTGCCTTTAAATATATTAAAAATTAAACAGTATATTGGGTAAAGAAAAGTAATTGCTGTTTTTTAGGTACAAACTTTTCCGAGTTATTAGGATAATAATTATTGTGCTGGAGGAATTTATCAAATAAATATACTTGATAATTATACTGTGGGATTGGGTGTGTTGGAACATTACGTGGTAAACTGTGACTAACGTGTAGTTAATTAACCATTAATGTTTTGATTTGTTGATACTTCTAGGGTACTGTGTTTACTAGTGAGTATAATCACTGAATTTTGAGATGATTGCAGCAGAAACAGTAGTTAATATCTTTAAATTTCATCAGATGGTGAATTAGGGAATTTCATTTTTTTTCCAAGCTTATTTCATTTTGAAATCTTGTTACATTCTTCTGAAACATTTGTTCAGTATGAAAAAAAATATTCCGGTTATTACGGTCTAGTATTTTAAAATATCTTAAATTGAAATTGTATTTTAGTTTTGAAACTTGCCCTAAAATTTCCAGCATTCCAAAATGTAACTAAAAAGTATAGTTCATTAAATTCCTGAGGGCGTAAAAATGAATGTTAGAAAAGGGTGCATACTTTTAAAAATACTTCTGAGTAGCTTATCAGAGAAGCTCTCTTTTTCTTTTTTTCACTGAATTTAGATATAGACTAACAGTTTATTAAATGAATGTTTAATGTTTAAAATGTATAAAATTAAAAAATAAAATGTTTAATGTTTAGTCTTCCCACTTGCTAATTGTGTTACTTGGGAAAATTTACATAACTTCTCTGGTTCTTAGGTTCCTTTAGACTAAAGTTAAAAGCACAGGGTTGCTAGGATCAAATAAGGTAATGGATGAAAGAGCATTTTGTAATCAGTAAAGTGCTATAGTATAAATGTAAGATTTGATGCCTATTTTTCTGGAAGTTTGCATTTGGGAGACAGAGATAAATAACATTTAAGTAATTTTGCTGTCTTATCTTTAGAAGCCTAGAATGAGATCATTAGTTTCTGATATTAGTAAGTAATCTCTGCTATTTTGTTTTTTTGTTAGCAGATGATTTGGTTATCTACTCACCTGGAGATAAAGTTGGTTACCCTTTAAGATATTATTCTGATGAAAGAAAGTATTCCACTACGCCTCTTTGTAGTTCATTCAAGCACTTAAATGGGAACTGGTAAAGTACCCCA